TTTTCTTAAAATTTACAGTTTTCAATGATGTATTTTTACAACAAACTGCACCTTGTGAACGATTTATGGTATTGTATTACCTTTGTATATATATAAAGTACTGGAAATAGGATAAAACCGATTTTTAAAAAAATTTTAACCGCAATTTTTAAGCGAAAATCCGAATTGTTAATAAAATGTCAATTTTCAGTTACACCTTCAAACAGCTGTAACTCGCGAACTATTCACCGTAGGAAGTTCAGCCGGTGCTCATTTTTTAGATAAATTAATTCTCTTCAAAAAATCATTAGGCGCATTACTGTCTAAATGCAGTCAAAACATACTTATTTGCAAAGAAACGCTTGACAATGGCAATTTTTCATGATTTCTTCCCGCATCATCTTATACTGATTACCAGAACGATATTGTATATGTACATTTTGATTCAAAATTTGATTCTCTACAACTTTCATTATATACACTAAGTGCGTACACTCTACAGTTTTCGACTTATTATGCTAAACGTACAGCGATTGTGCAGTCTTATAAAAATGTTTAAATGATCATATCTCTGTCAATATTAATCGTACGGAAATGTTTAAAAAATGAAAATTGTTCGTAATTAAATCCTCTACAACTTTTATTTGAAGCATTTTTCGATACGAATGACCATTCTCGAGATGTAAGCGATAAACGCGCGGCGCGCGTACGCGTAATCGTTTTGCCTCAAAAAAGGCGAAATTAAAAAAAAATATATCTCGGCTCCTATTGGTCGTAGAGAGGCAAATAAAAAAAGAAAATGTGCGGAATTTCGTGAGCTACAACTTTCTTAACGTTTTTGTTTTTGATAAAATTGATACTTTTTGAGTTATTGTCAAAAAATCAAATTTTTGGGCCTTTTTTGCACCCTCAGTTTTGCTACGACAATGGTACGGGGGTGGACTTTTAGTACCTTCATTACAACCCCAAAACACACCCTTTCGCGCTGGTTACAGAGTATATAGTATTATTTCCTTCAAAAATGCTCATTTGATTGGGCTAAAATATGTAGCTGGTTACCTGGGCAGGATAATTTTAATAATGTGAGATAAATCTCATGGCAATCGCGTTCCTTTGGGATGACAAATGTGACAATGAAGAAATGCTTGCACTTAATATACAATGGTGATCCTGTGGTCGTCAACGGCTGTTTCTCTATATTAGAAATATGCGTATATAAAACCTGCAATTATAACATTTTATCACTCTCTTTCAAAACAAACGTAACAATAGATAATTTCTACTGGACTAGTTTATTGATTTACCCATATCTTCTTTTTGCCGCTTCTTTCAACAAAGATGAGATGTGTCACTGTTAGGTAGAGTGTGCCAATGGAATGATTATTGCTATATTTGTCTAGCATCCTCACGTTTTCTACCTGCAAAATATGTATTTCCTTTTGGAGGAAAATATTTTCTTCAACGTTGTGATTTATCTTTGATACAACTTAATACAAGAAAGGAAATCAATAAAGAAATAATACGTCTAATGTTTCTACCATCATAAACTCGTTAATAATAAATTACAGTACGATAAATATTGAATTAGAAATAAATTGTTCATACCTTGGGGATCTTTATCTGCTCCATTTTCGAAGCCTTAAAAAAATTGCACGCAAAATCAAATAACGATATTTTATTTAAGCGATTATAACGATTAACACATGCGTGTGCACGTCAGCCGAGTTTCATGATAGCGGCGAATTAAAAAATAATTATTTGTTCTCTAAGCGTACGTGGACACTTGTTAGATATCTTAAGCTAATAGGCGAGGTTACGTGTATCACTCCCATTCCCTTTGAAAGTGACAGATCAGTCAGATGGTGATAGAGCTGCAATATGTGCAACAACAGTCAATACATTCCGTATGGACACACAATCGAGGTGAAATGTGTTGCAATGAGTTTCGGAACGCAGTCGTGAAAGAAACGTCAGCGGAGAGAAGGAGGAGCTACTCACTTCTTCCAATTGTGTTTCAAAACCCATCAGAACAGGTTAACTCCAAAGTGGAATTGGACGCATGGCGGTGTAAACAGCATGAGCGTTTCTTGCTTAACACGTATTCCTCGCTTCGTTTTCAATGAGAGTTAAAAAAAACGTTTAAGAAAGAATCAGCTGTCAAACTTCGTGGAGCTCCGATTGATTCGGGTGGATTTATCGTTACGTCTAATATTATGAGATAAAGTATGTAATTTAAAAGGCGCTCACCATTGCTCGCTGTTCAGCTAAAGCTGACATGGATAAGGCTAATACGGAAAAGTTGATCAGGAAATTAATCGCCGGCACGTATGAAGAATTCTGTAAAAATATTGTTGTGTTTCTAGAGATTGTAAGTGTACATTTTGAAATACTTGTTTATTTGCTGAGAAACATGATGTATGTTCTTCGTGTAATGATAATTCTATGAAACTTGCAATTTTAGAAGACATTTTATTTTATCGATTTATTATTATTAATCTCGATTTATTTTATCTTAATTTATTAAGTCCACCATTTGTATCCTAAATTAATAAGCAAGTGTATTATCAAGTAATTCTTTAAATTCCAATTCATTTACTGAAGAGAGAGAGTTTATATATATATATTAAAAAATTAAAATACTCTCTTCTGTTTATACATTTTCCTAGAAACTATTTGAATGATTTATGTATATTCTATAACTAATATTTTAGTATGATAAGAAGACGAGTTTTGAAGAGTTGGATAGTACCTGTTTACGAGAGAAACTATGGAAGAGATTATTTTATTATTTAACAGATCATATTTATATAGACCAACATCATCAATGTTTAGCTGCTTTGAGGATACTTAGGTAATTTACTTATATTTTGAAATAATTAAGTAAGATATATTTCTCAATAATAAAAGCAGTGAAAGTAATTAAATTTAATATGATTATAAAATCAATCAAGAATAATTACTTAGTATTCTGATACTAAATATATACATATATGCATATATATTATTAAAATGTATTTTATGCATAAATCTTTATACATTTATTATGCATTTATATTTAGAATATATTTGTATCCACTATATTTATATATTTTTATTCTAGCCGTGATAAAACTAACTTAAACGACTTAATCAATGATGATGCAATAAAAATTATATTGCAAAATGCAAGCTTGACAAAAATATGTGAAGAAGAACAAATTTCGTGTACAATTGGTAAGAATACCTATTTTTATTAACTCTCAAATTTTGGAGATACATATATAAAAGCAGATACATGTTGATTTAATGAACTGATGTTTAAAACTTAGTATAAAATGTATGGCAGAATTTCGATGTATTTACATCCCTGTTTTATATTAAATTATATATATATCAGAGTTTGAGAAGTAATGAAAGGTTTTGTCGCATAAGGGTAAAATGGACTAAACTGAGAAGAAAGGTCCTTTATCATTTTACAATCTTCACAATAGTTAACGAGATATTAATTTATAAAAATATTCAAATTTTCTTCTTAGTTTAGTCCATTCTACCCCTATGCGACAAAACTTTTCATTATTTCTCAAACACCCTGTATATATAATTATATATATATGAATGCTTTTAATTGCAGTTACGATAGAATCATTGAAGTTACTGTGTAACTTATTATTTAATAGTGTAAAAGTGCAACAGTCGCAAGTATTAATCTCTTCTTTGCCTTATCTCATCGATCGAATTAAAAATTATACACATAATCCCTATGATGTCAAGTTATTCGACATGAGAATATTATTTTTACTCACTGCATTAAATACATCTACGAGAGATGTAATCAAAACTGATTTATACGGTGATGTATATCTCATTGAAATAATAGAAGAATTTACAGCTGAAAATCAGAATAGCGAAATAACTGTAAACAAGGTAAAAAGATTCATTTCAACATTATTCATTAATATTTTACATATATTTTGTATCAATCTAAAAATTTTAATTTTCTCGTCACTTTTAGGCTGAAGAGATAACAATTGTCTGTGAAGTTTTAAAAGTTCTATTTAATTTATATATACATTCTGATGATATTGGAGTTGAAGACCAAGAAAAATACAACAGTTTGGTATTAATTTTGTATAAACTATTAACTCTTAAATACTCAGTGCAACAAGACGACCTTGAAAGGTAAAATATTAATAACAATTTGTAATATCTTGTCGCAACTTTTACATTTTAAAAGAAAACGTTAGTTTATTATTTCTTTTTTTCAGCCACGTCGTCAATTTGTTGACTGTGATACCGTATAGTTGTTATACACCAATTATACAAGCTGTTAACAGCCAAGATTGCAAAGATGTATATCAAAACATGAATATGAGCGCTATATGTGTTTTACTTAGATTTTTAGACACAAGATTAGAATGTAAAACACATTTACTAGAAAACTTCTCTCCAATAATTACTGCGCTGGTCAGGCTCGTCAAATCAGAGAGGATTGTTCGCAAATATGTAAGACTGCAGGTAAGATTCTGTAATAAAATTAAAAAAAATTATTTTTAATGATAATTGAAATGTTTTTTAAGTCTCTACTCTCACTTGGTAAAGAAAAAAATTTAGTAAATTATTGTTTTAATTGCCTAAAATAATAAATAAATATCGTGAATAAATTTTGTAGATTCTACCTCCATTAAAGGATGTAATGAATCGCCCTGAAGAAGGCACGACATTAAGAGCTAAGTTATGCAAGTTACTAACGTCGCCTATCACAGAGCTGCGCGATCTAGTTGCAGAACTTTTGTTTGTTCTTTGTAAAGAAAAGGGTATTTATCTGTCGCATTAATATATTTCAAGTGGCATACTTTTATTTAATGCTAATAACGTAATGTGATACATTGCCAATATTATTTATAGTTAGCCGTATGGTGAAATACACAGGATATGGAAATGCGGCGGGAATGTTTGCTAATAAAGGATTATTAGGACGTAGCCAAGCGGAAACGGCTTATTCTTCTGAATCGGAAGATAGCGAAACGGAAGAATATCAAAAGTATAAAGAACGGTGAGCAATCGACGAGGACTAGTTGTATGCCTTTAGGACGGAGTGAAAAGCTTTATAAATAAATGGTTTTCTTCTATTTCAAGAATAAATCCAGTAACTGGATGTCTCGAACATTCCAAACCAAATCCGCTTGAAGGCATGACAGAGGAGCAAAAGGAATACGAAGCTTTAAAATTAGTAAAACTGATTGATAAATTAACAAAGTGAGTAGTGTATATTGAGATTTTATTTATTCGTCACAGATCGAAGATATGCGTAGATATACAATCATATCGGGATCTAATGCTAAACAAAAGCTGTTTTTATATATATTTATAACATCATTATGTAAACCAGCAATATATTATCAGCTGCAAACGCCATAATGATAATATATTTTTCTATATATATAAAAAAATATATATATCAAGATAACATCGTTGCTTAGGGAAGGAGTCGTGCGTCCTTGCCGCATCGGCGATGATGGGAAACCAGAACCGATAGAGCACGTTCTTGAATTGCAGAACGAATTACCGAAACAGCAGTGTGGCAGAAAGGACTCAGACTCCGAATAAATATGTTATATATCTCCAAAATAGGACGATCTGTATATGTATAGATGAATAAAGATATTCAAGTCGAAAATTTATTCTGTCGTTTAGGCCCGCACTAAATTAGTCGCTCCTATTAGATAAATATCATATCAGTAATAATTGCTTACGTAAAATATATTATAAATATCAAATATGCGAATATCATATTTAAAAAAACCACCGAATTTTTCGAATCCAGGTAGTTTTCTCATACATCAAGTTGCGTCCGAGGTGATTACAGTGAATGAAAAGAATTTGATATTTAGTTGATTACTTTATTGAAAAAGAACAAAGAACAACTTACAAATTAAACAATTGGCAGGAAATAAAAAATATATATAACAGTTTCCAAAATCACATGAAATATTTAAACATTACAATTTTGGTAAAATGTGTTATGTGCTTTGTGAGCATCACAATATATTATTATTGCATTGCAGCCTATGCGCAGACAAGAATGTATACTTCTACACGTTTCAAATAACTGCATAGTGATATCATTTGAGAATATCTTAATATAGGACAGTACATATGAATTGACAGGTAATGGCAAATTGAGTTGATATGATGAAGCAATGTACGATCAACAAAGAACATTTATTTTCTTTTTTTAAGGCTAAATTTGTCCATCCTATAATAAAATATTTTCAATATAATACATTTGACAAATATATAAGTAGCAAATGTTCCGTATCTTTAATAATTATGTAATACAGTAGATTAAAATATTTTTTTTTCTTTTTTGTAAAAGTGTATATAGATGTGTATACGTATAATACCATAAATTTGAATATTTTATATAAAAATGAAACTAAAATTTGGTACAAGATAGAAAAAAGCTAATTTGTGGTAAATAAAAAAAAAAATAATAGAAGAGAGTTAGATCTGTGTTATAGATATTTCGGGGACTAGTCTTGACAAACTTTGGAAGATTAAAAATCGTAAAACTCGTAAACTAAGAGAGATATATAGATACATATTTGAAATACTTCAAAATTCAAGTAGTCCGACAATGAGGGGGGAGGATGTTCAATAAAGGCTGAGTAGTCTCAAAGGGAACTGATTTGTGTGTACACAGTTGATCTCTGGACGTGTATAACTCTAAATAATACGTTACATTACAAGATGACCATGCTCCTTGGCATCCCATTAGCATATAAAAAATATATTGGTATACACGCGCTTTCCATATTGCATTACAATTTACCTTTTTTTCGTCAGTTGTACTATTCTTATACAGTTTACATTTTGAAATGTAAGTGATGTCGGAACATTTAAGATCTTTTCTTATTTTTTTTTTTTCCCCCCCCAGAGAAATACCTCGTTCTATGCAAAATACCAATGGAGGTCTCAGGAAAACATGGTTTACACACAGTAATCCGTATTATCGTTTCATGATAGTTGATGTTACAATTAATATGTGTACAACATAGGTTGAATCGTTAGAAAGTTCATTTCAGATATACATATTATTTAGTATGTTTATTTAGATAGATTTGAGAGAAACGACACTAGAACTAATTTTGCATAGAGAAATGTGATGGAGCCAGGCTTTTAACTTTTGGTAAAGCACAATTTGCTCAATGTAGACGCTTATTTTCGATATCGCGCAATAAGCTGCAAACGAGCTGTAAGAAGCCTTTATAGATCGAATGTCGCTTTACCATAAAAAGTTTCTCTCAAGTCAGCCTCGCGATCACTACTTAAAAGTAAGTAGAAATACGGAGATCACCGAACGGATATATTCGAGGGTATGCTATACTCGACAAGATGACGCTCTTCAGCATACCAGATTGGAATGCAACTGTATGTAACGCGGTTTGTTTTTTAGTGGTCAATTTGATATGTAAACAAAGTACCTCCAAAAAGGAACGTATTGTAATATCTAAAAATAAATATTACACGTGTATAGGGCAGATGGCGAAAGCGTTTTCTTTACCCTTTCTCTCAGCCTGTTAAGTATTATATCGAGTAAACTAATGCAAAATAAATAAAGCTAGTGCTGTTGAGGAATGAAACCAAGTAACAGTATATACGCCATTAACATGCCTTTCGCGTTACTTACTTTCTAAAGATAGAATATATATATCATATATATATATATTAAATATTTGTACTTTAACTGACTAAGCAAGGATTTAATCGTAATTTTTTGTCTTCTTACTCTAAGAACTTCGACACCCGCGCGCGACGTAAACTTAAAAAGATGAATAAAATAAACTTATAAGGAATAAAACAATTATAAGCAATAATATACATGTTATATAAATACTCTGATTAGTCTGTTTTGGCACTAAAGAATTTAATTTTTCTATCTCATACGAGGTGACAGATAAAAATGATCGATTTGGAATGTAGTTAAATCAAAGTAGAATCAACATCAATATTCATTACGAACTAATCGTTTTTTTTTCTTCCTTTTCCTACGAGGTAATATGACAAGCTGTATAGCATTCCTTGTCATCCCACCTCAGATTGAGTATTTAAAATAAAAGGAAAAAAATGTTGTAGCAACAAAAACATAAAAATTAAAGCGAAGACAGTAAACGTGTTTGTATGTGTGCATCAGAAAAGAACACAATTAAAATGAAATGAATTGTATAATAGAAATCGATCAATAACGTTTTTCTATCTTTTCAAATAAAATATAAACTGTGGCGAGAAATTTATAAAAACCAATTAAACCAACAAAACAATATATAAATACACATTTGAAAGCAATCCCGTTTTCGCCGGATTGCCCAAATAAAAACGTTATTAGATCAAAATGTATATAGCGCAAGCTCGTACCACGTATTCCCCGGTAATAACTACCGCGGAAAAAATGATCTAACGTATCCAAATAAGTACGCTATAATAGCGTCAGAAACAGCCAATCGAACACATAATGCTTGCATAAAAGTAAAAATTAATTGTATGTATATATAAGACAATGTATACGAGCGAGTAAGGAATAAAAATATTACAAAAATAACGCGGAACGCTTACATATAATGAGCTATGGCTTTTTTTTTTCCTTTCCCCTTTCCTTTTTGATCATAGATTGTTACCCCTCTCTTTTCTTCTTGTAAAAGTTCAACTTAAATTATGCTGAGGGCATAAAAAAAGTAAAAATTAATCACGGACTTTTAACGTATAAGCCATATAATCGAATAAAATAATATGGAGCTGTTAATTCGAAGCGCAATTCGTAAGATAACTCTTTTCCGCGTTACGCTTTTCTCCATTTATAACCAGCTATATAGTGTTAATTGGCCATGCCCTAATCAATATAGCGAAGTCATACTCTTTTTTTTTTTTTCTTTAGGATTCTAGGAAGACTATGATTAACCGTAGGCTAGAATTCAGTTTATGTCGTGTCATGTTAGTTCTATTATTTATATAATTGCAGCTGTCTCGTTAATGCTTGTGAACATTTCGCAATAATTCTTATTGTATAATATATGCGATTCTTTTCTTTTTTTTTCTTCTTTCTCTTTTGAAAATCAGGAACATATTCGTGTGATATATAGCAACGATTTCGTCATCGGATACACGACATATTTTACGATTGACAAATATTGTGTCAATTCACACGTAAATCGTATGCGAAATTAGAAACAGAGCACTCGAGGCGCTTCTCATAAATGTCTTCCTCGTGTTGCCAAGTCTTGTAAAATATAGCTTGTAAAACGGTACGCTTCGAGAGCAATTTTGTATCGGGAAACAAACGTAATCGCGCACTACCTCCGATTTATAAATATAAAACAGGTGACAATTCTACAATTATCAGAAGGAAATGGAAAATTATAATTTTGACTCCACAGCAAACACAAAAAATCGAAAATTCGAAATATAAGTTCAAATAATTCTTTACTTCAAATTATGTCGGAGAACCTGTGGCACCTAAAAGGCCTTGGAAGTTGTATAGCAATAAAAATAGTACTGCTAAAGAGTAATACACAGAACCTATCCCCCATACTCGAAATACGATCTTCGATTACACTGCCAGTTGTAAAACTGTTTAGTGTGGATAGATGAGAGCTTTTAATATTAGTTTAACAATGTAAGCAAAGTTTATCTATTACGTACAGAGTGACTATATAATTCTATACATATTAGGATAATAAGACTTTTGAGATTGTAAAAATCATCAAAAAATCTATCACAATTACCATTTACGTAACAAGTAATTCTCGTTCCTTTTTTTTTTTATATATTATTGTTGTAATTTAAACATCAAGGCAAATAAGGGGTGAATTTCAACAGTGGCCTAAATTAGCCAAGTAGTCTTCCACAGAGATAAAAATATGTAAAGAGTAAATCTATACTAAAATATTCAAGTATATATAAGGTGAGCGTAATATAATAATTTTGTGAGGTAAAAGACCCTCTCGTTAATGGTCATCCATTCGTTACACTATGAGTTTTTTTTTTTGTTAAATATGACTGGCAAAAATTTTGCAACATGTTCTCTCTTTATTTTGAATATTTTCTTCTTTTTATATTTAACGCGTATCATTAGAGACGATTGATGGTCCGCTCTGCATCTGGCGTTGTTGTGCTTGTAAAAACACCTTGCAGGCGGCACCAATGGTATCTCACATTGATACACTTCTAATCAATATTTACCTAGCAACAACATCAGAGACTCTTTAAGGACACAACTTATCCTGACGATACTATTATCACAGGCATTATTTATATAACTCTGCTAACCATGACTATTAAATATTTCAGAATTAGTTTTTCTTTTCTTTTTTCTTTTTATATATAAAATTAAAACTTCTAACGTTACATGAGAGATGAGTACGACTGATTAGCTTAGGTGTATGTATGTAGGCTTCGTGCAATTTACTACAAATGCCGATGTTATGCGCGAACTTTAAAATAGCCTCCTAGTACTGTCCTTTTTTGTTTTTCGTTTGTCTAAATTTTTTTTTCATTTGCTTCACACGAGTAATAAAACCAGACATTATCGATATAGTTTCCTGTATGCAAACGAATTTGATAAAGCTAGTCAAGTATAAATATATATATATGTATGTGTGTATATATATATATATATATAATTATATGTATATATGGATGTGCTAC